GGATTGTCTAGGTTACAGTACAGCTGTGTGTTTCCCTCGAGGTCGTCGGCTATTCCGTCTTCAGTGCCTTCTAGTTATTATGTTGTCCATTTTTAGACCGTTTCACGCAGTCACGGTCCAACAAGGAGTAACTGCACAGTGCGTGATCCGAATTCCTTCTGCGACTCACGTCAGCGCACTGGAACTAATACGCGGGACACAGTCACGTTTTAAAAATGGAAACACTCCGCGTGTGGTGTGTAGTGATAGTTGTCTTTAGTAGACCGTCTGACGTGGTGCTGTGTAGGTGTTGCCGGCAAGGCTACATACGATCGGCAGGGATCTGCGGCTGTCCATCCCCGAAATTATGCCAATACAGCTGTACCTCGTCACTACAGCTGCATATTGCTATTTTGGTCGATAACGTGATATTAATTGCTCAAAGCACGTCACGCGAACCGTAGATCAAATAGACCAGGTGACTCTGTGATGGAGAAAAACAATGGTTCTTCCCCGGAGGAAGAGACCAACGATGAACGCATTGTGTTTGTTAGCAACACCGAGGTTAAATTATTGCATTTTATCTATGATAATACATGTATTATGTTTTCCTGAATTCTCGCTGCCATGTTTCAGGTGCCACAAGTACACGGCGAGGCTGCACAGTAGAGTCGGTATCAGCAGGAAGCCCAGTAGATTTCGCCTGACGGGAGAAATGGTTGCAATGTGGGATGGTCGCGTTCGTGTTCACAGCTTGCTGGCAGTGGCTGTCCATGTATGTCTATGCACCGCCGTGATGAACGCTGATGCTCGGGTGCTGCACAGGAAACACACTGACGAAAGGTGGACGCCTGCTGTCCATACCGCGAACGCCCAGCTCACTACTGTTGATGGTGTTACTGACATGGAGGGAACTGTTGAGTTGGGGAGAGACCAGGACCGACACATCTTACTGACATCGCCCAACGCCCAGAGCCTGTCGATCCCACAATCAAGATCGCAACGCGCAGTGCAAGATGGTCTACGAAAGCAGAAGGCCAATGCCTCTCTCCCTGCCGATCTAGCATGTGGCCTTCGCAACCTAACACAAGTCATACGGTACAGGAAAACAGGTTGCGTCGGGGTGGTCACGGTGGCTGTATGCTCTGGTTTCTGCAAGACCACGACTCGCGCCACGAAAGAATTTCCGTTCCTGAACACAACGTATAAGTCCTGCCAAATGCTGGATTACAGACCGGAGCCTGTCTGGGTATATTTGAAGTGTCCGCTCAGGCGGCGGCACCATGGTGGAATGACACGAAGGACAAGACGTTTTCCCTTGCAGTATGCGACAAAGTGCGGTTGCAAGGAATGCTAACCCCAATCCAGAATGATGCGGATCGTCTAGAAATCGGAATGTGATACCTGACCGACGTATGAACAGTTTTATATTTCGTTCTCCTGGACCACTATTACTAGTATTAGCTGCACGCGTATTGTACGCTCTTTCAGAATGCTTCCAACTGCGCTGAGGCAGATTCAGAGCATTGTAACGTGGCGAGATATCTTGATCATTACTTCAAATAATATTTTTTGTGATCTTAGTAACGTTACAGAGACTCATTACTTGTATCACCATGATACATACATACACCTTGCGTAGACTCCAGATCGTTGAGAATATCGTTGAAACGCCTGCGTAGAGTCTACCATCTTACAAAAAAAGCACACATCGCTGACCTAGCCATTGAGATTGACGTGCAGAATATCATACTGAGATCTGTTGCTACCAATGAGTACCATGTACCATGGAGCATGCATTGTGCATCGTACATGTGTATGTACATGTACATACTCAATCTGCGGACAGAACTGTTTCGTCCTTGTGGACTCGTCAGCGCAGCACAAAGGAAATGAGGCCGAACCTGATAGCAATGGAAATAAAAATTTCCAACCAGGCCTGAACGTACCTTGCCAGAGTGCTCAAACTGACAAGTCAGTGAGCTCTGCATAACGCAAACAGCAAAGGCACTACCCCACGCAAGAGTGCTCAACTGCTACAAGAGCAGGAGCGAAATACTCAATCTGCGGACAGAACTGTTCCGTCCTTTGTGGACTCGTCAGCGCAGCACAGAGGAAATGAGGCCGAACCTGACAGCTATGGAAATAAAAATTTCCAATCAGGCCCGAACGTACCTTGCCAGAGTGCTCAAACTGACAAGTGTGTATCTACATAAATAATTACCATGGTTTTGTGAACCAGCTTGGGTGAATGTCTAGTATATACTGGGCCTAGGGCAGGTTCTCACTGCACCTGATGCGGTGTTTGGCATATTTTGCGCCATTTTGTGTTTAAAAACACGCATTTCGCACATGTACATGCATAATCTACATGTAGGAATGATGCAATAATTATAATACATGCATGCACTTGTACTAATGAACATGACTATCGTCACTCCAACTTTGCAACTAATCATTGACACCCTAATCATTGTCAGCCTTGCCCAACGATCGTCATTTCCAAGTAACGTTAGTTCAACAATAAAATTAATAATTATCATTACATCCATATCCTTGTCCCGGCCTGTACCGAGCCAAATATAGCCGTGCATTCTTTAGATTCCAGAGTGTAAAAGGCCTGCAGAAATACATTGTAGGAGAACCAAAAATGGAAATCTGATCCGCTTCGTACACGCTGGTATTCGTGTTTTCTGCTCAGCGGTGACCATACTTAGTATTGATGGCGGTGAACAGTGTCCTCTGCAGCTTGCAGCCTGGTCTGAATCAGACCTGGGCCACCTGCATTCAGGTACTACGTATAGGTGAAATCTCAGTACAGTACCCAACAGTGACTAGGGCCGGAAAGGACTAGATAGAAGAAAGAACTGCAGTCATGACACGTCAATGCAAGTATCAGTTTCACTTTGAAGTGTGACCTGTACTGTAGTAGTCACGTAGATCTACGTAGGGTGTTTTGTAGAGGTGCCACCGGCCTGCTACATGTACATGTACATGTCATGTACATGTACATGACATGTACTGATTTACACAAAGGCACACAATGAAAATCTTGGGCAAATTCGGTTGTGACTCAGAGTTTCATGTCTGAACCAATCTATCTGGCAATCATGAGACAACGATAGACAGAGTCACAACGGAATTTGCCCAAGGTTGTTCATTGTGTGCGATTGTGTACGCCGCTCTGCCTGGATCAGGTATTGAGCACTTTCACAGAACCTAAGCATACTGCCTCTTGTGCTGATGAGTGATGTAGCCCGATTTGGGGACGGAGTGATTAAATTTTGTCCCCTGCTACCCTAATTTCAGAACGTTTAGGTGCTCAATACTTTCGGTATGAGGGCAAAAGGTCAGGTCAGCTGAACAGACCATTTTAGGTACAGAGAAGCAGTTCCCTATTGGATTATGTGTGTTAGTGTTTGTTCGGTGAATTGAAATTTTACTTGTAGGTATGAAACAGAGGGACCGAAAGTACCGAAAAAAATTAATTGTGAAATTTCAGTATTCACCCCGTGTGAGTAGCAACTGGATGAGTCGTCAGTTGACCAACTACACTACTACACTAATAGTAATAATACGGATCAGGACATTGACTTGCAAGAATGTTCATTTCTTGTGGAAGACACGTTGCACAAGACACAAACATTAGAGAGGTTAAGTTGCACGATTTTTCTGACGTGACGCGAAAGTTCAGCTCCCGTTATTTAAAAATAATTGGCTCGCTCGTTGAAAAACAACGCGAGTGACCTGCAGCTCGAGCGCTCACGTCGAAATTTGGAGTACGCCAAATTGCACGTGAAATTGCGCGTCACGTCGGAAAAAACGTGCATCTTAACCTCTCTATAATCATCATGGCACTTACGAAACACTCAGTTTCAAAATCCAGCTGGACAGAATTAGAATGCCACGTGACGGGGACAAAGGCTGGCGGTCATATACCATAGTGCACCTCAACATAAATATTTTCATTTCCTGGTTCCCCTGAAAGCCAGACCCAAAGACCGGTCCGGGAGACTGTGTTTGTGTGGAACTTCCGGGCATTCAACGCATTTTACGATTCACTTTTCTCCGAGAGGGCAAGGACAACGCACCCTGTGGTAGCCAATTATAGATACAATCATTGTATTTGAACTGGGCGAATCGCAAGTCTAGGGTCCGAAGATAGACGAATTGTTCGCCGCTGACACACATCTCGCTAGTCTACGGTCGAGTGGTGTCTCTTGTAAGATTTCACACCGAGTTGTAGCGACCTCAGGTGAGAACGTGCGACAATCAGCTCGAAAGGTGTTCCTCACTGCATAACACCATACTACGTACTAGTACAAACGCTTTGACGGAAGGGTTCATAGTGGCACATGGTCTACTGCCAGTACTGGGTACTACTACAGTCAATGTCATGCATGTACATAATCATTGTACTAGTGAAAATGACGTCACTTGAAGACAAGTATATGACTGTAGTCATGTTGACTGTGAGTGCTATAAAAAAATCGCCCTAATCTTAATCCTGTCCCAGGGGAAAATCGCGGAAAATCGCAAAAAACGCGGCACAATATGGCATATTTTGCGGTGAATTTTGCGATAAATATGCTGTGAATATTATTGATATGCGGCAAGTTTGCAGTTGATATGAGGCAATTTTCAGTGAATATGTACATGATTGTACTGATGTAGGGAAATCAATCAGTTACAAGTCTCTGGTGTAAGCACTCGTCATATTTGAGTACAAGGCCGCCACGATGAGACGTTGCTGACCGAACAGTGCACTGTATGTACGTGTAGTGCAACAAAAAAGTTTTAAAAAACGAGGGAAAATCGCGGAAAACGCGGCCTCGGAATCAGGATTTTCCACGGGTACAGCTCATCTCAGGGCTAGGGCCTCAGCGCACAGGAGCCTGTGCTGTATACGGATACAAGCATAAAAATTTAATTTCGCTCAAAAAGAATGGGAATCCCGGATACATCAAACACAATGAGGACGACTGGTGGCAATCAAGTCTACAAAACACAACGTCGGATGCTTCACTGTAGCTGACCACCGTCTTCTGCGGACAAAACCGCTCTGTGAATACGAACACGAAACAGGCACAACAGCATGCGAATGAAATCCAAAACTCTCACATAGGTGCGCAGAAAGCGGACGGAACAAAACAGAAGGGGCTGCGCGTCAAAAAGAAAGGAAATAATTTGGTGTAAGCGGTGAAGTAAATCGAGATATCCTAGCATAACACACTGCCGTGCGACGTTCACAACAAGAACAAGCATTCGAAAATGCTTGTGTAAAAGATAAAATATTATACTTATCTGAATGCATGCCTCTAGTGGGCGAGAATGAACTGAACAATTCAAAAATATCGTATCATTTGAAAAGGTAGATTATATGATAAAGGCTGCCTACTTTCAGCAAGTAAAACATGCGTTTCGGAGCAATTATAAAACAATCACAGTATACTACTTGTATACCAATGCGTTATCCATTACAGTTGAAACAAGTGACTGAAAAGACTAGATTCTGTCACCTGCTAACGTAGGTGATGTGAAAACTACACTGTCTAACTTCCAAGTGGAAGGGCAATATCCATCTCCTTCGTGACCTCTTCGATGGCTGCCAGTAGTTGACGGATATCGTCCGGATGCAAATTACCTATGGTGCCAATGCGGAAGCACTCCGCTGCTGTCACCTGGATGTAGCACACACACGCGATGCAGAAAAATAAAAGGAATAAAAAACTACACCAGTATGTACGAGTCCACAGCAAATAGCCAACAGTATCCACCATGTGAGTGGAGAGCACAAAAGAGACACACAGACAGGTAGATATTCAACAAGAGCGTCATAGTCCACATCACGTAAAATGTAGGCTAGAAGCCTCACCAACTACAACAGCAGGTAGATTTTCTTTTTCTTTTTATCAGAAAAGGCACTTGTGCACAACTCTACTGAGATCAGGGGAGGGGATGGGGTGGACGTTGACATAAGACAGGAGATAAGGGGGTGAAGAGCAACAAACGGAACAAGAGATGAAGCAATCACGAGGAACATGACCTGGTACCAGGGAGTTGTCACATACGGGGAGACGCCACAGATAACTGTTCCGCTGAACCATGTGGGTTTCACTCCCAAGCTGCCCATCACAGTCGCCCTTGCGGCAGGGCCGATTTATACGAACTCACATAATATGATGGCATCGCTTGTCTGGGCCACGCTTGGGGACACCAGACCACGATCGCAATCCACGGCTTTAGATCCACGGATCACTTGGAACTTCCTTATCCGGGGTCAAACGCACATCGCATCGGGTACAATAATCTAATGTTGTCTCCCTGTATGTTACGATTAACTGCTTTACACTGACAAACATCGTAACGCCATTGCTTAGACTGTCAACTAGAGAGATGGACAGATAGAGAGAAAGAGGCACAAAGAAGCAAATGAAGGATTGGTTATGCATACCTTGCCGGGGTAGATGCACATCCCGCGCTCGCTCAGCTTGCTGTAGAACGTCTTGAAATCAAAGTTGGGATGCTCCGGGTTACGGAACGACGTGATGATAAAGGATTTCTCTGTTTCGTTCTCCAGGAGTTCCTTGAAACCTAGCTCAGCCATCCTTGTGCGAAGCAGATGGCTATTCTCTTGGTACCTTTATTAATGTACACAAGCACAAAAAACAGCGGCAAATACTATCGTCAACACGATACAATTACCCCAGGTACAATCATGTAGATAATCACAGGTGTACATGACTAAAGCAAACGCGCGCCGCAATCATTCATTAGCCTGGAGTGTGGTATGATTCCCTGCGGATCTGAAAGCAAGATATGAGAAGAGCACCGCCATACAACACAGGTACGAACACACGTCCCCCCCCCCCCCCCCCCCCCAAACCCATCCGATCGTTGTACTTCAAAGTACAATAAGTGCAGGTCTGCCTGCATGGACAGCCCTGTTACCTTACATGTGTATGCTTGCAGGGCACACAACCAATATCTCAAAACCTAGCACTCACTGCATCCAAAGGGCAAGTCCAGATGTAGCAAAGATATACATAGTATCAGTTCCGTATACAGGTTCTTAAGTTTTGATCACAGAACATACATCGGCTTTCTTAGTACCTCTCAGGATAATAGACTGTATAATAGCTGTACCTCAAGCAACAGTTTTGTGCAGAAGGTCAAAGTGAAAGTCAAACTGCAAAAGCAACACAGACTAACCAACTCACCGCTTTCTTCTGCCAGCAATGCCGCCTTCCTCTCTGAGCTCCTTCAATGCCTGGTGTAGGGCTAGTATGCAGTGAGTTGGAGGTGTGAATCGGAACTGACCGTTGCTCTGCAGGCCATGGTATTGCTTACACAGGTCTAGGCTGAGAGAGCGGGAGTTGCCACCACAGCGCTTCAGAGCACGTCTGTACAGGCATACATAGGGTGCAGATATGCATTGTGTATTGCATTACATCTTGATTGGATTGCATCCGAGGCTAAAAAAGGAGGACTCCATTACCAGCATCAAATACGGCTATTAGTCTGCATTTTTGGGCGTCGGACATGGTTCGGTCACTACGGTATTGACCGTACCACTTTTTGCCACAGGTACCCTGTGTATCAATAAAATACACTGATCTGTGCTCTAAATTTCCAAAAATGTCAGCTCAGCAACCCCTCCCGCACGAATAAATTGTACTTCAAATGGCTGACCGTACCACACTAAAATACCATCCGACGCGTCTGTTATGGGAATGGAAAAAGGGGAAAGGAACTGTCACCACCAGGCCTCAAACCTTGACTGGAGGCCAGTGATGGTCTAAGCACTGAGCTATGGTGTAGCTGTCATCCCAGCAGAGGCCGTTCAACATTTTTTTTTATACTTCAAAACTCACACAGTCTGCATTTTGGCGATGTTTACAGTTAGTGCTGCAGCACTAGATTCCTGAGGTTGTCATAGCAACTGGTCGTTGTGCGCATGTCTCGCTTTCTCTGGCACGCAATCGAACATTTTCTTACTTGGTACTGCATTTACATCATGTTGTCGATGGTCTCGTAGTCTCTCGTTCCACTCCATTAACCCTGAAACTAATGTCTTTCCGAGCTACAACCTACTGTCGTGGACATGGAAATTTATTTTATTATTATTTATTAAATTTTGAAAGGAAATCCGGTCGAATGACCGGGACCGGCGCCCTCAGTGTGTACAGAGCGTTACAGGCAGTGCAGGTGTTGATAGTACAGTGCCGCTCATCCCGTTTTTGGTATTAATATTTTTACATGATCGCATTTGAAGTCACTGAATTCCAACGCCAAGGGAGCTAGTCTGGTTGAAGACGCGCAAAGGGTTTCCAACATGTGGCTAGCTTTCGCACTCAAGAAAACAGCACCAGCCAATGGCTAACCTTGGCGGAAAACCCTCCAAAGAGAACATAGAACTTCACCACCATGCGTGCACCATTGCAAAGAGAGATTTGCAAAGAAGCATTCGTGTTGTGATCAGAGAAAGACGATGGCTGTCCCCAACCACCAGTATTTCGCTGGAAAGGAACTAAGCAGAAAGAAAGCATATAGAGGCTCTCTTCCAAGCAGGCCTGGGAAGCAGGCAGATTGGCGATTGGACCGGCTGTACGAATTTTGCTCGAATATTCATTTCTCTATCGGTCAATGTTCAGGTCAATGATGCCATCCAAAAGACCGAAGCTGGTGTGACAGTCAAGAGGAAAGCTGGAAGTGGCGCTCAGCCCACACAAGGCCCAGACGGACTGAAGCACGTCCTGCAGTTCGTCGAAAACAACCCGTAATCCAGCAGCGAGAACGTCAGTGCCAACTTGGCGAATGTCAGTCCGGCAGGCAAAGTAGTAAGTGCTAGGCAGTTGAGACGGTGCCTATCAGAAACCCACCACTTTGACCGTCCACATAGGAAATTTATCCTCACAGAGGCACACAAGCTCCACCGTCTTGCGTGGGCAATCCTGCAACATGGCTAGGACTTCGACCACACAGTATTCACCAACGAAGCTTGCCTCGTTGCCAGCCCCGATGATCGAATCATGTTCTGGTTTGCTCACGATGTTGCGCGTGTTGTCGAGCAGTCGCAAAATCCAGAGAAAGTGCACATTCTCGGTGCTGTGTCTCTGTTTGGGAAATTGGGCGACCTGGAGTATGCGAACACATGGAACGCACAGACATTTTCTGCCGGAATAGATCAGTCAACCACTCAATCGGCCGGCGCGCTCATCGGCAACAACTGGGAGTTGCAGTTGGACAATGCGACACCTCATCGTTAAGCTAACACCCGACAGCACAGTGACTTTATCGACCACGAGCGCCGACCATTACATTTCAACCTGCATGTTCACAGGATCTGAACCCGATCGAGACTATTCGGAGTTTCCTGAAAAGACGACTGACGGCACACAAATGCCAAACTGCGAATCAGCTGCGCGAGGCCCTGGATCTGCAGTGGGGAGCACTACAGCCTGCCAATGTGGCAAGTTTCGCCGCATCCATGCCAAACGGCAGCAGAAAGTCATCACAAATAATGGTGTTCACACCAAATATTAGACCAGCTGCCTAGCTACTGCAAATATACAAACCAGAACAGAACTGTATCTTTCCCTCTCTGTCTGTCTATCTTCTTCTGTCGAGTGTTCCGTGTTCTTCTTGGTGGAAAGTTCAGGAGTGTAGTCACTTCCCGCAATGTGCATTGACACATGCCAAGATTTGCGCCAAATCTACAGTTCACATACACAATCCAAAATTGGACCAGCACTGCAGCGTATGTTCGGGGTGCATACTCACGGCTGCATGGCCAGCGTCGGGGGGGCACTTGACCACCGACTGAGTTTCCATGTCCACGAGTATTATCAAGAGCACATAACCAAGAGTGTGCAACTCGACGATCCCCCAGCGTACGGCGGAATTTTTTTATGACATCAGTCATTGGCGGCTATTCGTCTTATTGATACCATCATGCGTAGCAGGAGATCAAAGTACAGGTCTACTCTCGTTAGTAGACAACCCCGGGGGTTTCAAAAGTGTTGTTTTATAACGAGTAAAGTATTAGCTACTATCTTAAATTGCATGTATCCGTTTCAAGCGTCAGGGGATTTTCGGATCGCTGCCTGCAAATTCCTTCTCTTGCCATGGCTGGCTAACGCCCCCTCCTTTGTATTGGCTTCTGCCATTGGACTGTGAAATGAAATAAAAATAAATGAGGTTTGTCTTGTACCCAATGTTGTACTAACGGGGGTAGACCTGTGCAAAGAATTTGTACATCACAGCTATGGTAGTCGAAGCAGAACAATGGACGATGGACTGATGTGTCCTGAACCCGATGAACTCTCAACGAACTACAAAACAAGTGCGGGAAAGCATACGCACTTGATCATACTTCTGCAAAAAGAATGACGCATTATAAAAATATTCCGCCGTGGATGAACCCATCACAGCTCCAGACAGGAGTTGCACACTCTTAGTTGTGCACTCTTGCTAGTATCCGTATTGTGAGTTCTGGCAAAGAGGATGTACAACAGTTGCGCTCTGTGAAATCTGACCAGATGTGCAAAACTGGTGCCCTGGACTAGCTCCGATTACATCACCCTATTTGTGTACGTCCGTCCGCATTCGTGCCACTTCGAGTTTGTCAAGGGCATGCCAGTCGAGGCACCAAATATACGCTCTTCTTTGGATTTCACCGAGCGCAACTGTACTAAAATATCCATCAGCGGAGGGTGTCGAAAAGGAAACGGTCTGAAGACAAAATTTACTGTCACCACCAAACAGGGACCTTTGCGTGAGGCCAGCTATGCTCTAACCACTGAGCTATAGTAAAGCTGTCATCCCAGCAATACTACAATAAAGCATGATTTCCCCTGGAATTATGATACGGTTCAGCCTACGATTGATGCTACAGGAAGTGATTTTTTAGTGGTGGTGAACCATCAGGTTGGAAGGGTGCTATGTAATTCTGATCTCTTTCCGGGGAGAAGCCTATTTGCGGTGTTAGGTCAAGGGAAATGAAAAGTTAACACCATGAATAGGCTTCTCCCGGCAAGGAGATCAGGATTGCATAGCACCCTTCCACGCTGCTGGTTCAACACCCTGCAAAAACCGCGAACTTTCCCTCGAAAAAGAACGGCATTTGAGCTGACAAGCTCGTTCCCATTACACTGCAAAACCCCACACCCCGTTTTCACATCGAGTTCAGCAACATTTCGGCATTTCGCCCTCATCATTTCATAGACCTGACCTCAAAGTGATGAAAGTGAGAATAACTCATCATTCCACTTACAGATTAGCCAGCACTAGTGAGAACATCTCATCATTCCACTTACAGATTAGCCAGCACTAGTGAGAACAACTCATCATTCCACTTACAGATTAGCCAGCACTAGTGAGAACAATTCATCATTCCACTTACAGATTAGCCAGCACTAGTGAGAACAACTCATCATTCCACTTACAGATTAGCCAGCACTAGTGAGAACAACTCATCATTCCACTTACAGATTAGCCAGCACTAGTGAGAACAACTCATCATTCCACTTACAGATTAGCCAGCACTAGTGAGAACGACTCATCATTCCACTTACAGATTAGCCAGCACTAGTGAGAACAACTCATCATTCCACTTACAGATTAGCCAGCACAAGTGAGAACAACTCATCATTCCACTTACAGATTAGCCAGCACTAGTGAGAATCCGGGCACACCCTGAAGACACTTGTTGGCCGACGTTACCATGAAGTCGCAGCGAGCCGACGACAGGCTGAACGGCACCGAACCAAAACTGCTCATGGCATCGATGAAGAAGGAAGCCTGGGTAAACACGGCATGCAGAGCAATAGCAACTAAAACAGATCAGTTCACGTACATTGGGGTAGGTTTTTTTAAACACAGGGTACAGTCAACTTTGCGTATAACGACACTCGGCGGGGCATCAGAAAAGTATCCTTATGCGTGAAGTGTCGTTATACCCGAAGTCTCACAATAAGCATTACAGGTGGATGGGACTTTGTTCTGGGCATGGAAATTCTGTCGTTATTTGCGAACTGTCGTTATATCCGCAGTCGACTTCAATGGTTGCAATGGAATGCTGACACCTGGTCTCCAACCTCTCAGTGCAATCATGAACAAGAAACTTGAAACCAGTTTCCTTGCTTACACTTTGTATGCGGTGCACCATGCATGACTGCAGTCCGCATATACTTATACTCATGATCATACTTGGACATTGAAAGAAAAGAGAGTGCATACGTGCATGCAGTCATGCTGCTCTCATGCGTGCTGTGTATTCCCGCTTGCCGTGGGGCGCCATAAACTAACTAAACAATATGTGTTGTTGTTGTTGTTGATCGTATTTTGATTCAATGACCAAAAAGGACGAATACACCCAATAACAATGGGGCAAATAAGGAGAGGCACATTGCCATCAATTTATGAAGAGAGTAAGAGTGAGAGTGAGTGAGAATGAGAGAGAGAGATAGATAAATAGAGAGAGAGAGAGAGAGAGAGAGAGAGAGAGAGAGAGAGAGAGAGAGAGAGAGAGAGAGAGAGAGAGAGAGAGAGAGAGAGAGAGAGAGAGAGAGAGAGAGAGAGAGAGAGAGAGAGAGAGAGAGAGAGAGAGAGAGAGAGAGAGAGAGAGAGAGAGAGAGAGAGAGAGAGAGAGAGCACAGTGCACCATGTGATTAGCGACCACCCCACAGTAATTTCTTGACTGCTCCAGTAGATGCATTTTTATGATGGGACAAAAGATTCCCTCAAGAAACAGACTTTCGACCCGCATCCCCTTCCATCGAACGCACTGGATACCGTATTTTCCAGGGGAGCTAAGCCCCCTCCTTCCCCCTTCCTTTAAGTTAACCCACTCTCTTCGGGCCCAAAATTCGTATCTTTATTGACATTCGTTGTATAAGACGCACGCCAGACTTTCAATTTGTTGACACCCTCACTAAACGTGACTCAGGCATACAAAGCGACACCAGCTGCTTTCGAAGAGCGATCAAAGTTTGAACAAAGGTTGCCTAATATGTCCTTGATTCAAAATTGACAACATGAAAAGCTTTGTGCTAGTGCAATGATGGATTGCAGTACACGAAACGTTCCTGAATGACACCATACGTACATGCAATATGATTGTACGTAGTGCTGCAGCGCTGGTCGGTCCACATCCAGCATTCGAAAGTCAAAACCGCAGGAAGGATTGTTGATTGTTTTTATGCATTTTAAAGTGCAGCTGACACACAGAAAAATACAGCATATCATGGCACCACAGGGCACCATCATGCTTTCGGGCACTACTAACCTGGGATGCATGCTTTGCTACCATCTGGCCAATAGCCTCGACCGGGTTGATCTGTCCACTGCTGGTTTCGCAATGAACAACAGCTACGTTGGTGAGGCGATGACCCTGCAACAGCAAGAATACACGTGCACACACGTACGCCCATACACATGCACACACACACACACACACACACACACACACACACACACACACACACACACACACACACACACACACACACATACACGCACGCACGCACACACGCACGCACATACACACACACGCACGCACGCACGCATGAACAGTATAAGAGCATTAGTTATCATTATACACAGATTCGAATGTTACCGCTAATGCATAATATACTAGAGGTATAAAGTCAAACGAATACCACCGTCGTCATAGGCCATCACCTGTATCAAGTGTAGTCCACTAACTGGTGTATGCAACTGGTGTATGCAATTGGTGTATGCAACTGGTGTATGCTTTAGGGTCAGTGCGCGGCACGCTGCCTTCATATCTTGGCTGTATCACACACTCCATATTCAGGCACAACATCCACAATCTGTTGCGCCAGCACGGTCCCGGTTTTGCTGGATTTTTTCGAGTACAGATGCAGACTCTAGACTTTGGGTGCATGAACTTCAGTTCCGTATGAAGGTTGTATTCAAACCACAGGGAAAGTGTGGTGTTTGCTGTTCCGCAGTGCGTAGCTGTAGCCGCAAAATTACAGCAATGAAGGGAGAGCAATGAGCGTGCGGGACACAGAAAGGAAATCACAGTAGCATACTTTTGGCTATGAAATATTGCCAGCAGTCCTAAGGCAGTTTTTGCAAGATGCATAGTATGCGTATAGCGCCAACTTTGTCCTCGTGATGCCATCAACGACACTTGCTTGAAACCGCCGGGGACACTGAAAAAAACACCGCGAAGTGTTTGAAAAGAGAGGAGGCCGACTCGGACAAGGACAATTGTAACTGTTATGTAGAGCATTTCCACCAACTTACCAACTCGATGATCTTTCTCTCCACGACGTCCAAGTCCATGGGAACATTCTCTGGAAACGAGAGCTTCACACAGTCGCTGATACCCAGTGCTGTGATGATCTCGCCAATCCTATGGCCATACGCACCGTTCACCAGAACAAGAATGTTGGGACGAGTGCGCGGGATGCTTGTAGTTAGCGCTGCCTCCACAGCAAACGTACCACTTCCCTGGAAAGGGCAACAAAAAAAGAATTTTAAAACTCTAGCAATTACTGCTCGAAACAAGCACAACCATCAAAACTGGAATTGCACAATCAACCGAAGCAAACCGTCACACTAGTACAAGTACTTGCTCACTACTAAAAACTGGTCATCTCTCACTCTTGCACACTCTTCTCTCTCTCTCTCTCTCTCTCTCTCTCTCTCTCTCTCTCTCTCTCTCTCTCCTGAACTCCTTACTAACCTGCACTGGAATACACGTGTAGTCGTCGCGCGATTCTCCGGATAGGTCTACCAGCTCATCGCGCACGCACTGCACAGTCTGAATGAACGCCTCGTCTCTGGAACCCAGATCGTAGAGCATGGCTTCCTTAGTGCTCATGCTGACGCCCAGCGGTCCGGGTGTGAACAGTTTCTTCTGCGTGATCGCCGGCGCCACATCTTCATGGCTTCTGCGCAGTGCGGATGAAGTGAAGCAGCGGTGCGCTACACCATACACTGACTGGTGGGTGGTAGGGATGACATCTGTAGCAAAACACAAACACACACACACACACGTGCGTGCGTGCAAACCCACATAAACACACACACACACACACACACACACACGCAGCTCCCACATACACATACACACATGTGTTCTCTCTGCTGAGCCCCCGAGCAAAGAATGTTTCTGCTTCTCTTTGGGCATGAGGGTATGGCACGTGACCCCCATACCCCCATCTAGACATGCCCTTGCGATGCTCCATATACTCAAGTCTGAAAAGAACCACGCACACCAGGTAGTATACTGGATGTATACCCACTGGTTTTCCCGTGTAACATCGACTGCGGACTAGAACTGGCAAAGCAGCAGCAAATGCGATTTCTTATGGCACAAATCGTAGAATACACTCTCCACATATTATGGCTCCCCGTAAAAACAAAAAATAAATCGACGGGTTCGCGTACCGGGCAGGTCAAGAACAAGGAGTCGTACAACTCCCCGGTCAAAAACCACCTTTCCGCTTCCGTGGGACGCCACCACCCGCTCGTAAATGTGGCGCATAAAATCCGGGCTTTCTCTGAAGACAGGCTTTTTATACAAGACCATATGGTACTCACTATTCATAGTGCAACAGTTATTTTTTAACTTGAAGAATAAACACCATGCAATATATCTATTCAATACGCGCTTCCGGCCGCCACTGTCAGTTTGTGCTACATCTATAATCATTTTTTAGAGTATTTTCGCTCCTGCTCTTGTAGTAGTTGAGCACTCTCATGTGGGGTAGTGCCTTTGCTGTTTGCATTACGCAGAGCTCACTGACTTGTCAGTTTGAGCACTCTGGCAAGGTACGTTCGGGCCTGATTGGAAATTTTCCATTGCTATCAGGTTCGGCCTCATTTCCTCTGTGCTGCGCTGATGAGTGCACAAAGAACGAAACAGCATGCTGTCCGCAGATTGAGTAATCATTTTTTATAATTGTGGCTTCTCGTTGGTTGCTGCCTGCTTGGTTTATGACAGGCCTACAGTCCACCAGTACGGGCAGGATTCAGATCCGAGACGTAGTACAAAATGTCAACAAATCCACTCCACTATTCTAAATTCACAGAAATCATACTACAGTACTGAATGTTATAAAACTATGTTCGTTCGTCAACAGTAATAGTAATACGTATGAGTGCCATTCACCAAACTACCTCATCGCCGTCGATTTGAAGTATTCCCTTCAACGCTCACTCAAACTAGCGAATTGTCAGTGTTGATTTCCCATTTATAATTTGTATAATTGATTTATGATCAAGTCAGCATGGTGCAATAATATTGCACTTGCCTCTGTTCGCTAGCGTAGCGCCGGAACACCACCGCTTCGCAAGCAAGTGCGGGGCACGACCACGAAGCACACCAACCGAGGACTGCATCCTTAGTGGCTATGGAGAGCAGAGACGCTGCCTTTCCACAAACAACGACTTATGAAATATTTACCGTGTTCACTGCTATCACGAATTCCAATATTCAACATTAAATTTTTTCCAGTTTCTGACCTTGACCAGCTAAAATTATTATTGATGTTTTCAGGCAGTTCTTTTTTTTTTTTTTTTTTTTTTTGGATTTTGAAAAGTGAGCCACGCGTTTTTCGGGCTCTCCTTTTTTCCCCTTTTTTGCAGCCCAGCCGGCATCAGGCCGGACTGGAAGTAGACTAGATCAGTGATTAGAAATAGAAGTAGAGTAGTGTCGGAAACTTGCCATGCCCGGAGCTACCACGAGAACTAACTCTCGTGTATCAGCCTTGACTGAATCTGAGACGAAAATGTTGGGCTCCCTGCCTAGTATCGAGTCGGATGTATCGGCAGTGCTAAAAAGTCTGGCCGCACTTGTCTCCGAGGCCGCCGATCGCGAGGATCGCCTGAACAATAGGTTCGATGAGCTATCCAGACAAGTATCTGAGCTGAAGGAGGAGGTAGCTTCTCTCAAAGAATCCGCCATTGCGCGGCGAAAGCTCCTCAGCCATGCCAGCCAGGACGTACTACGAACCCTGACCGTACCCGTACTGACCCCCGCACAGCCTGCAGGCAGTGTAGCATGAGTGCGAGTACGAGCAGATCTACCAGCTACAGCAGCGCGCTGAACCAAGGTCCAGCATCCGATGCGCCCCGTACTGAAAATGATGCTCGCCCAGCAGCCAGCCCTGGCCACAATGTGGACAGCGTGAGCGAGAGTGACGCGGATGACGGTTTTCAGCAGCCACGGAGACGAAAGCGCAACAAGAGCACACAGGTGTTGCAGCCCATCTCCGACGATGCATGGAAACTAATTGCAGATGAGCCCCACAGAGCGAAGAGAGCTGTCGTATATGTTGGTAACCTCAGCAGGGAGACAACTGAAGACCGGTTACGCGAATTTGTTGATTTGCGTAGCAGGGCCGTCAACTCCGACACACCAGTAGTGCTCCACACCTGTAGCATGCATGTCAATGCTAGCGGCTGCATGTCTGCAAGAGCGTTTGTGGATGCCAGCTCCCTGCATATCCTGCTGGCTGCCAACTTCTGGCCAAGGCCACTTTATTGCAGGAGGTGGACCTTCCACACATCCGACACTCACAAGACAGTACCAGGGTCAGCTCAGCCTGGCTGCCCACCAACTGACACGCCAGAGACATCCCCATCCCTGCCCAATCCACTGCAAAGCGCAGGTAGCAACAAAAGCAGCAGCGCAGATACTGCAAGCAACAACAAAAGCAACAGCGCAGATACTGCAAGCAACAACAAAAGCAACAGCGCAGATACTGCAAGCAACAACAAAAGCAGCAGCGCAGATACTGCAAGCAAGCAACAATGAAAATCCTCCTTACAAATGCTGGTGGAATCATGTCCAAATTTGGAGAGTTTCAACACGCGCTTGTATCCTCCAAAGCTGATATCGCTGTTGTTACTGAAACCAAGATCACCGCAGAGAAATTCTCCCTTCATGAGTCAGCCATCCCAGGGTACTCCGGCCCACTCCGGCGTGACAGGACTGAACATGGTGGTGGCATAGCAATCTGGGTACGCAGCCCATTGGCGTACCATCATCTAGATCAGTATGACTCATCTGTTCACGAAGTAACTTGGCTCACAGTGCAGTCTGCCCATCATGGTAAGATAGTGCTGGGTGCTGTATACAGGCCAGGATCCGCCTCAGAGACTGATATCTCAACACTTGAGCACCTCGATGGCATCCTGGATAGCGTCAGAAAACACGGCACCCACACCATGCTGGTCGGAGACTTCAATGTCCACAACACGGCTTGGCTCGGCAGCTCTAAGACCACCCGTGCAGGGGAGTACATGGAGGAACTAAGCGCTGCCCACAGCCTCATGCAGCATGTCCAAGAACCAACCCGAGGTCTCAACACCCTGGACTTAGTGCTCTCTGACTTCACTGGTACTGTGACCACCGGTATCTCGCCGCCGATAGGAAGGTCAGACCATTGTGTTGTCCACGCTGTGCTCGCTCAAGCCCCGCTTGAAAATGAGCCCAGCACACGGAGACGTGTGTGGCGATATGGCCAAGCCGACTGGAACAGACTGCGTGCCCACTACCGTCGCATTGCCTGGGCAGCTGAGTTTCCGGAGGACCCAGAGGAAGCATGCAGCCTTGTTACTAGGCACATCGTGTCTGGGATGCTGCAGTTTATTCCCCACAAGATGCTGGAAACAAGGCCGTCCGATCCGAGCTGGTGGACACCAGAATGCACTGAGGCTCAACGTGCCAAAGAGAAAGCGTGGAAGGCCTGGCGTCACCAGGGGCCCAGCGAATGCCTGAAGCAGTCGTTCATGACAACTGTCACTCAATCTATTACAACCCAACATCGTGCACAACAAGCTGAAGAGCAGACAGTCCGAGAGCGTCTCACACGTGGTTCCATGAGAGACAAGGACTGGTGGAGGAATGTCAAGCGCGCCGCCGGTCTGGGTAGGACTACAGACGTGCCAACACTCACTGATGCTGACGGGCACGAGCACAGTACATCGAAAGCCAAGAGCGAGTGCCTTGCTAGATTCTTTGCTGAAAAATGTAGCCTTGGGGATAATGACATCGACAATGCTGAGTTACCAGCAACACCCTGCACTACCACTCCGGGCCTGCAGCGCGTCCGCTTCCGCGTCTCTGAAGTCCAACAGTGCCTGAAGCGTCTCAACACATCCAAATCCACTGGTCCAGATGAGATCCCAGGACGAGTACTCAAGGAGTGTGCAGCTGAACTAGCACATCCTCTGGCTAGATTGTTTCGCCTGTGTTTTGCAAATGGAGTCCAGCCCCAATCATGGAAAATTGCCCGTGTCGTTCCAGTGCACAAGAAAGGACCCAAATCCATGATGAAGAACTACCGGCCTATATCTCTCCTGACGATCATCTCTAAGATCATGGAAGGTATCATCAATCGGCAGCTTGTGAACCACCTGGAAACCCATCAACTCTTCTCCTCGTCCCAGTTTGGCTTCCGACGTGGACTGGGCACAAGTGACCTACTGACGGCTCTCCAGCATTCCTGGGCCACTACCCTGGCTGGCGGCGGTCTTGTGCATGCCCTGGCAGTTGATATTGCCGGGGCATTCGACAAGGTTTCCCACCCAGGTGTCCTTGCGAAGGCACAGCAATGTGGCATCCACGGCCAACTCCTGGCTTGGCTAAGGTCGTATCTCCATGACCGAAAACTGACTGTAGTTGTTGGCGGTCAGTCCTCCCCACTGTTCCCGATCAAGGCTGGAGTGCCCCAGGGTAGCCTCCTAGGTCCCACTCTTTTCCTGTTATATGTAAACGATGCAGAACAGTGTTTAGCCCCAGGCTCCAGTCTAGCTGTCTACGCGGACGATACAACACTCTATGCCCTAATCAGAAACCCAGATACCATCGCTGCTGCTTGCAATAGCCTCCAAGCATCTATTGACCGCCTGCAGACTTGGGGTGCCCAATGGAAGATAAAGTTCGAGCCATCAAAATCTCAGGCAATACTCCTTGACCGCCACAGACCATCCCTGGATGTCCCACAGCTCACATTTGATGGCATGCAGGTGCCTGAGAGCCCTCAGCTCAAGCTGCTAGGAGTGTTATTTGACAGTACTCTCTCCTTCCGGGCCCACATCCGTTCCCTTGCCGTTAGAGCCAACCAGCGATTCGGCCTGCTCCGAAAGGCATCTCGGATCCTGGACAGTGCAGGGCGCCTAACTGTGTACAAAGGATTTGTACGGCCTATAATGGAGTACGCCCCTCTCGTCTGGGCAAGTGCGGCACATTGTCACCTCCATCAGCTGGACCTGGTCCAGCGTCGAGCCATGAAGGTTATTGGCCCCTCATTGCTCCCCAGCCTGGCAATCCGAAGGCATGTTTACGGGCTGTGCTACCTGTATAAGCTGCAATGCATACCAGGTCCAGCTCTGCTTACCAACATGGTACCTCCCCCAGCAAGAGTTAACGCTGCACCCCGGACGCGCCGGCAACGCCAGTCCCTCGGTGGCCACTCTTTCCAACTCGCAACTCCTCTGCCAGCCTCCAGTCCAGAGTTCATCCGCCGCTCCTTCCCATACTTTGTCCTGGAGAGCTGGAACACACTGCCTGCCCCAATCCTCGCCGAACGCCCAACTCTCAAGAAATTGCCGACATTCAAGACCAAGGCCTACCATCACCTCCGCCAGACCAATTGGCTATGGGCCACTGAAGTCCACCAGCACTGAGAATAACCGGTTGTCTCTATTATTATCATTTTCTGTCTCTCTCTCTCTCTCTCTCTCTCTCTCTCTCTCTCTCTCTCTCTCTCACTCTTCCTCTCCTGGGAAGCTCCTCATGCTCATTCTCCCTTTCTCTGTCCATTTCCCCTTCCTGATGCGTAGACCAACTGTTGAACCCGAGACCACTAGGTCGGGGGAGGTTGACCTACCTCATCGGCACGCATGCCACGCTCCTCTGTGTTGTCAAAGTTCGCTTGTCCACTTTTGTCTACCTCCCCTTTTATGTTGCTGGCCAGTGCTTTGTAGTAAAAAAAAAAAAAAAAAAGTTCTCTTCCCCAACTGATCCATTGATGTACATGATTGTATTACTATTAGTCACCTTCGATCGACGGCTTCGTTGTTGTATGTATATGTAGGTCTACATTGTACTTTGTAGACGTCTACCATGCCCATGGTCTACAGCTAGCTAGCTAGCAGCCTACAAAATAGAAAACTCTACCCGTAATACTAGTAGCATGCAGGGCATTGATTTTACACACGTGTAGACCTACTCACAATCACATCTTGCAGATCAGACTTTCAGAGGCGCTAGGCCTGCTGAGCTGATGAGAGCTAGAGCCAAGTAGAGGGTGCACGTGTGACACTTCGCTCACGTGCTTGTTCATACGTACAGTGAATCCTGTCGACCGCTAGTTAATTAGTTACCTTCAAAACGTGGTCTCTTTATCCAGGGTCATTTGACTGGAAATAGCATCCCTTTCCTGGTTTCAGTGGTCTTCTAGGACAGGCTTTTTTATTATTAAGAAAAAGAGGTGAGAGAGAGA